GSCAAGGGCAATATCTTCTCCTTCAATCATGATCTTATCTTCATCCCATTTTTGTTGAGCAGTTAGTAACTGTTGTTTCAACCATGTTAGACGCGATTGTTCATAGGCTCGGAATTTACAGTCAGKGCTTTCAGAGCAGGACATGACATCTTCATACATGGTGGTATCATCAAAGTAATAGGCACAGTCATGCACTCTTGCACAAAATTGCYTAGCCGGTAAACCAAGGTATCTATAGGACGTACCCTCTTTGACTTCAAAAAGTTGAGGGAGTTCCCATCTCAAAAACATGATGTCAGATCCCCACACGCTTCCACTACTACCGATGTAATACTTTGGTCTGTTGATTACAACTGTCTGGTCTTGATCATTAACAAGGTGAGTCTTACCATCAATGATTTCCTGGTGTGAAGTCATGAAGCGGAATGATGATGGAGTAATATGAACTTCCGGAATGCTAAAGTCATGCTGTGGTAGCTTTCTTCGCTGGTCGTCATTGTCAACATCATAGATCTTTCCTGCTTTGACATTTCTCATCCCCACGTCCGTGCCTSGACGTAGATACGCTTTATCGTCCATTGAAACAACAAGTCCTTCTTTTTCTTTTCCTGGCTCAAATATGGAAAGCTTGACATTCTTCACATGCTTTCGCTGGTGATGTGTACACTCATTTGCTTCATGTTCTGTTTTTGGTGGTTTCTTGGCACAAAAGAGCCATTTCCCTATGTGTGCCTTGGCAGATCTGGAAGCTTTATTTTTTGGTCTCCCTCTGTTAAGCACTGTTGTAGCACTCTTGATAAGTTTCTTTCCTCGCCTTAACAAATTATATCTTGCAATAGTAAGAAAGTCTTTCTTCTTAACGCGATGATTTGAGTAAAGAGTGGAATCATGCCTACGTCCATGGGCAGTGGTTTTATCTTCTATTGCTCTTCGAACAAATTTTTCATCCTCACTGTCAAGCAATCGCGGTGCTCCTGAAGAGGCTTTACGTCTCTTCACCCTATTTTTAACTCGAAGATTGCGAAGCAATCGAAGAGTTATAGGAGGGAGATAGATGATGGTGTGTGAGGTGAGATGGACTAGTTAATAGGTCACTTATTTTTTTTCTGTAAACATACGGGCATTTAGAAATCCGTAACCAAGATGGCCAGGTGTTTTGGTTTTAAACACACAAAATGTGATTTTTGAGGTCTGGACGTTCTTGTATAAGATTCTTACCAATTAATCTGTTGATTTCAGAAGTCGTTTTAGGAGATATAGTGTGGCTCATAGATACAGCATTAATTCTATTACGATGATTTCAAGGATTATTCCAATATATGTCGATCAGTATTTA